TTAGTAGTGTTAGTAAGTCAACTAGTTAGTAGTGTTAGTAATGTTAGTAGTGTTAGTAATGTTAGTAGTGTTAGTAATGTTAGTAGTGTTAGTAATGTTAGTAGTGTTAGTAGTGTTGGCAGCACTGGTGGCAAACTCCGAATGGACCAAATCAATTTTCGATAGAGATCGCTTCATTATTACAAAAAACTGAATTTCAACTAAAAAATAATTATTCATTTTTATTTATATATTTGTTCTATTTTAGCACTTATTCAAGATAAAAATATTATTTTGAAAAAATTATTAATAAACAACGTCAAAATAATGTAAATTGAATTTATAATTTCTTAATTTCGATATAGTTCAAAAACTATATGTTCCATGCAAATAATAATAATATATGCTAATTCTGTGTTAAATTCTACATTGATCGCATATGTCACATGTTAATTTTTAATAAGTTAAAATTTTTCAATAAAAGTGGTCACTACCGCCGAACCCGAGGTCGGTCGGCTATATGGATTATATCAATGGACTCCTTATGCACTGGACTTTCATTTTATATTGTCAAATCCCGGTTGCAAACTTAGGCAGATCTCGACATCCTCCTTTATGGCCAAAAGCTTTGAAACAAATAAATCTCTATATTTGATGAAATAATTAATATTTATATAATAATATACCAGAGATGTGAGAAATGATCTAGGACATCTTTTTAGTGACAGATTTGTTTATAAATATTTCATATTTAAGTAATGTTTCAATCAATTTAAAAAACACAAAGAATTATAATTAAATAAACATTAAACTCAAAATTGTGTCAAAAATGACGACAGCTTTCGTGAAAAGCAAATGAGTTGTGATTTAATATGAAGTCTATTAGTGTTTGAATTTAATATTTGAAAATTACAGGCATTTGAAGAGAGATTCAGAATATTCTGTAAAACTATTGATTTCCAAAAAAATTGAAGAGCGTTTGACTTTCGCGTCAAAATTCGTAAAATATAAAATCAACAAAAAACGCGATTTTAATATTTATAACACTTTTTCGGATTTCATGTCAAAAATGTTACGACAAATGATTTTCTGGATTTTCAATTGTTATAAAAACTAAACAAATTAAAGGGAATATTGAGTTAATTTCCATATAAAATACAATTCTATGATAATTGAAAGTGAAATATAAATAGCAAATGAAGTCTAATGTCGAGCAAAACTCATTGACACAAGAATTCAAGATTGATTTCATTAATAGATCCTTCGATTGCTTTATTTGCAGTGATATTTGATTAGTTGTCGTTTGATCACTGCTTGCCGTCGTTTCAATTGCATCACAAACACAAACCATATCATGTTATGTGAGCGCAGATGCAATCATTGCAGAGCATCTGTGTTTCCACGGATTCTTCTTTCAGTTTTACACTCTTTTCCATCCCTTTTGTCCGCTCTTTAATAATCTATAAGGAGTTCAGAAGTGTCTCTCATTTGAGAGCAATGGCTTTAATCTGAATTACAAATTAGTTGTAAATTGTTTTCTATATTTAGAAAATTAAATCATTCTTAAAAATATTCGTTAATTAACAGAATATTAGCAGAATTTATATAAAAATCGTTACAAACATTGAAAGCAAATACAAACTCTCGAGAGAGCAAAATAAATATCGAAAGACTATTTTGAGTTCAAGAAAAGAAAAAGCTTTAATCCGGATTTGAAGTGAATATTGTGTGCTGTGATCGAGATGTCAATCCTGAAGACGTGTTGCTGTTGTGTTTCCGTACGAAAGGGCAGTTTTGCTGTCGGTTTGTTTGCTTTGGTGAGTGCTCTCCTCTTATGTCTTCTTTTAACACATTTCTTGTGTTTGGAATTAATTTATAAATTCTTTTCCCAATAATTCTCTTTTCCTTTTGCTTTAATAAAAATAGTGTTGAAAAGATTTTATAAATTTTAAATGTATTTTAAGTTCATAAACTAAGGTTTTGATTGAAAAATAAATAAATGTTTTGCAAAACATTTCACTTTTGGTAAATATTTAAAATTTAAACCAATATTGAGTGAAAATAACGCCAAAAAGTATTTGATATTAAATCTGATGAATTGACACATATTTGACGCTTAATTTGAGAGTTTGTGATACGAATCAATGCTTTGATAGATTTTATACATCTATTATCGAGATATCTATCAATAAATTTATTTTTCTTATATTTGACCCAAATTTTTATTGATATTGCAGTCAATTAAATAGATTGCGATTCACTTCATAATCTATTTCTCTAATTAACTCTTTTATCATTTAATTTTATGAATTTTTGTTCATAAAATGCAAAATTTTGTGCAAAAATTCAAATAAATTTCTTATTGTAATAAAACTTAATTGAAACTATCGTTGCTTTTAATGAGATCTTTACAATAAAAGTCAAATGCTTTCAGAATTAATTTAATTAAATTTCTTTTTGTATGAATTTTTCTTTTAAAACAATAAAAGCGTTTAGAATTAATGCAATTATTGTTACAATAATAATACAAATAACTATAAAATAACTAATAATTAAGACTTGTGTCGATATTATTATACAAATATTGATATTAATATGAATTTTACGTCTGTTGTCTTTACGACTGATGTGTTTGTGTGAAAAGTCTTTATGCGAAAAAAAGATATTGTCTCTGACGGTAGATAATGCTAACCTATTCTGTGAGCATCACTCGAATTGTAGTTAACGTAGAATCGCTGTGTAATCCTTGTTTTATATATTTTTCAATTTACAAATTTAATATTTAAGTTATAAATTTCTGTGATTTATGTTTAGAGAATTTTTTAATGATTTTGTTTTGATTATAGTTTAATTATTATTATTTAAATAAATCATTCAATAAGTGTTGAAAATTAATATTTCAAAGATTTTGATTTGATTTTCTCTCATTTAATAATGTTTTTGATTTTGTTGTTTCAAAACACAAATCCTTTAAACAAAACATGTCTTGAATGCAAATATTTTATGAAATATTAACACAAAAATCACTTTAATATTCTGTTAACGTGTCTTGAAATATAATATTCCTCTAAATTTGTTTTTTCTCTATTTATTTCCTTTACGTTTTGCAGACTTTTTGAAATTTATTTTCAAACAATTTGATCCAAAAAATAGTTGTTTATTATGTTATAAATACATCAAGAGTTTAATAGAATTTATATCCAATAAAAATATTTGTTTAAGTCTTTAAAACATAATTTCTCTAAATATTTAAATTATTGAATAAAACATATTTGGGTTTAATTTTTAGGTTATTTTTAATTTGTATTTTTTCATTGAAATTAATGGTTTTCACAAATAATAAAACATAAGAATTAATTCTAATGAATATTAAATAAAAATTTAATAAAATATTTCATAAATTAAATGAATTTTATAGATAAGAGCAAACATTAGAGATAAATGAAAATGTTTTAAAAGTAATTAGACTTGAAATATGTTTTTTACATATATTTCAACTAAAAATAAGAGAAGTTTTGTTTGAAACCAATAGAAGAGAAAAATTGTTTCATATTTTCGGTTTTCATCACAAGAAAAGTGATTAATTGTTTGCTTCAATAAATGTCAAAACAATTGTAAGAAACAAATAATAATATAAACCAAAAACCAAACATTTCTCAATGAAAGCATGATTTATTGGACACCACTTCGACTTCGAGAGAATTTTATTTTCTTTAATAAATGGTTTTTATTATTAATTTGCAAAACATTAATAAAAACGTAATTTAATTAATAAACAAATGTTTGCAAAATTGATATTCATTTCAATCGAATTGTAATAAAATTAAGAATTTCGATGAAATTCCAGAATTTAATAAAAACTCGCATTTTTATTAATTTTCGTTATTTATTATAATTTTAATATAATTTTCGTGATTATATAACAATTGTTATGAAAACAAACTCTCAATCACTCGAAAAAGCAATAATAAATAAATTGAAAACAAAATGAGATATCGATTGAAATCATTGAACGAAAAGTCGATTATTGAACAAAAAATAATTTGTTTTCGATTTTTGCTAATTAGTAACGATTTATAGAAATAATCCGCGATTAGAGTCAAACAAATTGTTTGCAAATCATGTTTCGCTTAATTCAGAAACATTTCACTTATTATTCGGTTTTATTTCGAGACTAAAAGACTAAATAAAGACTATTTTTAGACTTAATTATTAATAACTAATGGAAAGGCTTTTCTCACAATTAATACTTTTTTGAAAATAATTCTTTTGGAAGTCTTTTAACCAGTTTTGACATTAAAAGCAAAAAAATGTTTGTCTTTTCGTAAAATTGTTTTCACATTCAATTTGCGAACACTTTTCAGATTTATTACACAATAGTCGTAGCGATCGGTGCTTTTCACGTTCACGAGGCGACGCATTCTTCGGGTGAGAGTTTCAGCGAAAAACCGCTTTTAAAATGCATTTGTATTGACAGGTCTTTTGGCGTTGAGTTTTGTAATCGTTTTGATGTCGGGTTTATGTGTGGCCGCCTCTGTCTTCCTATTGGTCGGCTTATCGGTCGTAAGTATTGTTCACAAAATGCAGTTCCGTTTAAAAACAAACCGATTCTCAAGGATTGCAAACAAATGCTTTTGCCGTGGATTTGCATAATTCTCATGACCACTCTCTTCGACATTCTCTACACTGTTCTGTGGCTTCTCGAGAGCGTCAGTATTATTGTTGTCACATATTTCGGAAATTTTGGTAAATTTCTTGATTTTGTTTTCAGTTTCGAAAAGAGAAGAAAGAAGAAAATCATTATTTCGTCGTTCTTGTCATCGATATAATAATGTGTGCTTTCAATGTGTGTTTTCATCACTCATTATTGCTATATAATTACTAATCCGTGTTTTCTGTTCAGTTTTACGGAATAATTTGCGTCGTCTCGCAGTACCAAATATACAGACAACAAAGCGTTCCTCAAAACAAAGTATTTCTTCGTTTGCCAATTATGTTGAATTAATTGTTGCGTTTTTGCAGAACATTTTGCCTCCGATTGAGTTCCGTTTGATTCAGTTTCAAAACTCTCGCGAAAAAAGCGACAAAACGAACGAAAAGAACGAAAACTGCTTAAAAGTGCCGAAACTGTTCGACAGTTCAAGCGGTTCGAGTGCCGGTCAGTTCACTGTTGTCCTTATTATATATATATTACTATTATTTCTGTTCGACAGTTGAAGACATATCCGACGGTTCATTGTTGACAACAATCGACGAAAAGACGGACAACAATAACGAGAAACAGAATTACGTCTCGAATCGGCTTTTAGTGCAAAATGTTTGAAAATTTGTATATTTTTCGGAAATAATTATTCTTTTATAAAAACAGTTGTCTTTTCAGAACATTTGTTACGAAATTGTCATTTTTTATTCTCATATCAGAGATAAGAGATCTGTATTTAATTTGTACTTAATTTTAGTTTTGTTATCAATTAGAGTTAAATCCGTTTTAATTTTATTATTGATTGTACTGTTCTTTGAGACCTTGAAATACTGGAAACAGTTGTCTTTCAAACACATTATAAATTGATTTTACGAAATATTTTTGAAATTATTTATTATTTTGTTTTAAACACAAGTTTTTACAAAATGTTTGATTAATTCGTTGATTAAAAACACAATTCAATTGTGATTTCGAAATGAGTTTCAAGACTTTTGTCGAGAAAAATATCGATCTCTCGAGCGATGAGTCGTTTTGTGTCCTAAAGAGTGATCACGTGATCGAAAGACACGAAGAATGGCAGCGATTGTTACCACGAGTTAAACAATACTTTTCGCTGAAATTCAATTCTTTTGAACCGTTTTTGAGAATTCTGT